AGAGAGGCTCCACCTGCAAGAACAGAAGTGGCACCACACGTTTGTCAGTCTCCCAGAAATGAAATAAAAAATAACCAGTGCATGACATGGAAACAACACAGCTGAGATATCTATAACTTGCTTCAGAAAGACCCAAATACCTCCCGTCTGTATTACTGGGATGTGTTTAATAAAGATTATTAATATATAAACCCATTAACAGTTCTTTTACTGCAGCAAGGCTGCCCTGAGTACCCTCAGCAAGATGAGAAACAGGAAATCTAAGTAACTCAAGGAGATAATTGAAAACCATTCTAGGAGCAAAGTGACAAGCTCAGCTTTCAGTGAGCATCTTGATTTATGTGGTCACAGTGAAGAAACGGCTGAACCTCCCCAAGATCCAAAGTTAATCTTTCTATAAAAAGGCACAGTGAGACTGTTCGGAGCATAAGCACAAGCTCAGTTCACAGGACAGTTTAACTGCATAGATGCCCAGAGCACTGAGAAATCCAGCTCAGTCCCAAATAGCCAAACCCCTCCTGAGTAAAGAACTTGCCATTTAAGCTTCCACTTGTGGACACAGCATTGTTCTGTTTCTGGTTGTCATAGGCTGGACCAATATTGGCAAGATCCTGAAAGAGATCAAACAATCTGCTGTACACACTTGGTCAAAGGGAACACTCCAGGCCTGAGCAGGGCACTCCAGGAGCTGGGGCTCCCATCCACTGCTGGCACAAGATAGAGCTCAGAGATCTGCCCCTTGACTGAGCAGAAAGGCACCAGAGGGACCCTCTCACCCCCTTCTCAGCTCCCCACCTTTCTCCTGTCTCCCAGCACATACCTGGTCTAGAAGCCCAAATTTGGGGTAATCTTCCTCTGGGTCTTTACTGCCTGGGTCGGGATGTTCTTTCACCAGGAACACGTCTCTTTCTTTGCACTGAAACAGACGAGTTTTAGTTACATTAAAACTTTAGTTACAGCCTTCAGTTAGGGTAAGATCATAACAAATTCATTAACAAGGGTTTAAATCCCAGTAGTTCATATTAATATGTGTTAGGTACATCAGCTGCCTAAGAAGCATCAGCATCTTTACCCTGTAGCTCCAAGCTCCAAGCCCTCAGCACACAACAATGTCAGAAACCCAAAATTTGTGGGAATTCTGCCATGGATTTACCCTCAATTCTTACCATGGTTTTGACAATATTATTGGGCCAAGTCATTTTCCCAGGCCTCTGCCGTGTTGTCATGCACTCCCAGTATTTATCAATAAAGGGGATAATATCCTGTAAGAACAGAAAGCGTTTGTGTGAGCTCCTCCTCACTGACACCATCACTGACATGGGTCCACAGTGGTTCCCAAACAGCCAAACCTTATCCTTGGAGAACATCGTTTTGGGGTGCTCATCTTGTGTCCTCGACTGCCACGTGAGGTTGGCCAGAGCACTAAGGCACATTTCCTTGAGATCTGAGAAACAAAACACCCCAGGGCTACAGTTACACTTGGTGGGAAGATCAGATACCTGTGTACACAGTGATCACCCTGAGAAACTGCAAAACCTCCCAAATTCTGTCCTGACTCAGCCCTCGCTGAACCAGTTACATCACCTTCATAAATTAGTAGCAAAACATTTTTAGAAGAAGCCACACATGGTTGTTAATATGGGATTTTGAGTCACTTTCCAGAAGTCTCAGCAGAGCCCACCCACCAACTTCAGACAAAACCAACCCTCCAGGATGATCCTGCACAAAACATCTCCCAAGGTGCTTCTCCCAAACTCACTCGCTTGTTTCCTCAGGAAGTAGGTGTTCCCACTGTGATGGCACACGTTGCAGTGGAAGCTGTAGTTGGTCATGAAGGGCAGACAGGACCTAGGAAAAGGCAGCTTTGTTAGGGTTGGGTGCAGTGTAATTGTTCCCTGGGAGCAGAACCCGATCCCCCCTGGCAGCCCCCTCCTGGCAGGGAGTTGTGCAGAGCCAGAAGGTCCCACCGAGCCTCCTTTCCTCCAGGTTGAGCCCCTTTCCCACCTTCCTCAGCCCCTCCTGGAGCTCCAGATCCTTCTCCAGGTCTGTTCCCTTCCCTGGACATGCTCTAGCCCCTCAAAATCCTTCTTGGAGTGAAAGAAAATCAATTATTCTTTACTACACTGGGTTAAGAAACTAACTATTCCAGGTTAAAACCCAATTATTCCCTCCCTCCCTAAAACCAAAAACATCTTGCAGGCCCAGTGTTATTTCCTGCGGGTGCTTTTATCATGGACAAAGCTTTATTTACACAACACACCAGTTCCCAAGTGTCCAAGGCCATGGACAGGTCCTTGGGAACTCAGACTCCAAACACTCCACTTTTGCCAGCAGAGCCCCGTGCTGGCCCTGGTAGCCATCACATCACATCATATCACATCACATCAGTGACATCACATCACATCAGTGACATCACGTACGTGGTATCGATGCCGAAGGTGTCAGCTGTGAACCACTTGGTGCAGATCCCACACTGCAGCTCGATCTCGCCCAGCTGCCGAGTGTTCTCCTCGTCCCCCGAGCCCCCCTGCACGTCCATGGCTTCAGCACCGTCCCCAGCAGCATCCTAGAACAGGAGCAGAGCCAGGAATCAAACAGTGCCCGGGGCAGGGAGCACAGGGGCTTTGGGCAGGAATCTGCCACAATGCGGTTTTAGAGGGAATAAATCCTTTTCCCTACGGCCACACTGCAAGCAGACTGCAGCTGTTTTGTACACTCAGCTCGTGAAGATGAGCCACATGGATGAAGATTTATCTTCCAAAAGGATCCTTTAATGAAGCAACGCTGGCGCTAAGGGATGCTCCCCTCGGGCTGAACCGACCCCTGCCCACAGCACCTACCAGGGGCTCCTTCCCGTTGGCCGACTCGGTCTCCAGGGCCGCGCTGACATCGACCATGGCGGCGTCCGCCCTGCCAGGACACAGCGGTCAGTCAGAGCGGAGACCCCACACGGGGGAACCCCGTGAACGGGGGACCACGGCCAGGACCCGGGGGGCACAGCCAGGACCCGGGGAGCATGTCCGGAACCCAGGGGGCACGGCCAGGACAGAGGGCACAGCCGGGACGCGGGGCCTGGCGCGGACACCCCACGGGCAGGGCCGGGACCCCCATCCCCGTTCCCATGGTAACGGGCCAGGTCCCGCGGAGCCCTTACGGTCCCTCGGGCCCGCCCAGGGAGGGACATACCCGCTCTCGGCGTCCGTGGCGGGCGGCTCTGGCGGGGCCGGGGGCTCCGGGGCCGGGGGCGGCTCCGGGGGGGGCTCGGCGCCCTCGGCCGCCGCTGCCGCCGCCATGTTCGCGCGTTCCCGCGAGAGGCGCGCGGATCTCGCGAGACTCTGGCTCCAAGGGGCGATGGGGGCACCCCGCGGCGGCAGAGCGCGCCCCCTGCCGGCGGCCGCCGGGAGCACGGCGCGGGGAGGAGTGACGTCACCCTGCACTGCCGTGACGTCACACCGCCGCAGCCTGGCCTCGAGGTGCGGGGCTGACAGCGGGGGAATAAGCCGGGAGCAGGTCTCAGGTTCCTGGTGCCCTGCGGGAGAACTGAGCGCGTTTCCCCACGGGAAGGATGAGTGTCTCTTCTCTGGGAGGCTGGCGGGGGGGGACCCCAGTTGGACCCCCCAGCCCAGAGAGGTTGGGGTCCACGGGTGCCCCAGACCCTGCTCCCTTCTCTAAGGAACAGGGCAGGATTGACTGGGGGGGATGTGCCCGGGTCACTCGTGCCCAGCAGCCTCGGGCTGTGCCGGGTCTGGGGACAGCGGTGTCCTGGCACAGTGCGGGAGTGGCCGTCCCCAACCTCACTCCACAGGGAAGGAGAGAGAGAGAAAGAGAGAGAGGAATGGTGGTGGGGATGAGTCCAGGAAGGACGGAGGGAAAGACGGACGGGGAGAAAGAGAAGAACTGGAGGAATGCAGGGATGAGGCAGAGATGGATGATGGATGGATGGAATGATGGATAAGGCTGGAGGCAGCGGGGGAAGGATGGGGAGAAGGAGAGAGGGAGGAAGAATAGGGCGGGAGACGAGGGCAATGGAAACGGAGAGGGATGGCCGGGGGGTAGATGGGGGTGGAGGGGAGGGAGGACAGAGATAGGGACGGAGGAATGGGAAGAGGGACGGGGAGAAGAGGGGAGGGGGCTGTCGGGGAGGGGGGTGCCGGGGCCGCCCAGGGCGGCGCTCGGGGCCGCTGTACAAATAGGGCGGCTGCGGGTGGCCCGGGCAGACATGCGGGTCCCGCTCCGCTCCGTGCCCGCTCTGGCGCTCTGCGCCCTGGCCCTGCTCCGCCTGGGCTGCGCTCCGACTCGGGCACTCACCTGGGCACCGACCGGAGCGTCCCCCCGGGCACTCACCTGGGCACCGACCGGAGCATCCCCCGGTGCCCCGGCCCGGGCCCCGCCGCGCTGCCCGGCGCTGATGCTGCAGCTGCTCCGCGCCCCTCCCGCCCCGCTCCGCGCCGCCGCTGCCGCCGCTCTCAGCCTCTCCCCGCACGGTGAGTGGGGCCGCGGGCATCCCTGTCCTGGGACCGGCACCGTCCCCGGGGCTCGCAGCGTCCCCGAGCATCCCTGTCCTGGGACTCGCATGGTTCCCAGAACCGGCACCACCCCCGGGCATCCCTGTCCTGGGACCATCCCTGTCTCTGTGTCCCTTACGATTCCCGGGCAGCCCTGTCCCCGGGATCAGCACCGTCCCTCTTCCCGGCACTGCCACTGTCCCCGAACCTCCCCGTCCTGGGTCCAGCATCGTCCCCGGGACCTGCACTGTCCCCACGCATCCCTGTCCAGGGATCCCCACTGTCCTGGGCATCCCTGTTCCCAGAACCAGCCCTGCCCGAGGCTCTCGCTGGCTCTCAGGTGGATCCAGCTGCTTTTTCCCGACTCTCGGGCTCCCACGGCAGGGATGGTTCCCCGGCAGTAGGAGGGGGCACCGTCGCCCCCAGCTCTGGCACCCCTGGCACCAGGTCCCCTCACCGTGCCCTTGGCTTTCAGACTCGCTGCAGAACGGTTCCCGCTGGGCGCTCTCCTTCGACATGTCGTCCCTCTCCAGCAGCCAGGAGGTGAGTCTGGCTCAGCTCCGTGTCCGCCTGCCCGGCCTCTCCCGTGCCCACAACGTGTCCCTGGACATCTACCACAGCCAGCGCCGCAGGTGCCGGCGAGACGGGACCTGCGCCCACCAGCTCTTCCTGGGCACCGTGGCTGGCAGCCCCTCTGCCACCCAGGCCTCCTGGAAAGTCTTTGAGGTCACCAACCTGCTGCGGTCCTGGCTCCACCAAGCCGTGGTCCCTGGGCACCCCAGTGCCACGGGAAGGGGGCAGTGGGATGTGAGTGGCTCAGCTGCCCCGGCCACCACGGCCCTGAGAGACACCGGCCACGGGGACCCAGCCCTGCCCCAGGACGCGGCAGACAGGGTCCTGCTGCTCGTCTTCTCCAAGGACAAGTCTCCGGGAGACCACAGCCTCATCAGGACAGCGGAGACCTCCAAGTACATCATGCGGGACAGCGGCTCGCAGGGCGCGGGGTCGCGCCGGCAGCGCAGGAACAGGATGGAGAAGCAAAGGATCAAAGCGAGCGACCCCGGCGCGGCCGTGCCGCGGGAGCAGGGCAGGGCGCTGTGCAGGAGGGTGGACATGGTGGTGGACTTCGAGCAGACGGGCTGGGGCAGCTGGATCGTGTACCCCAAGAAGTACAACGCGTACCGCTGCGAAGGGCTGTGCCCCTCGCCCGTGGACGAGACCTTCAAGCCCACCAACCACGCCTACATGCAGGTAAGAGGGGTCCTGCCCCTGCGCCCCCCGCGCCCCCCACACCCCCAGCCCTGCCCGCAGCAGGGGGATGTTCTGCCCTTCCCGTGTCTCCCACAGAGTTTGCTGCAGCTCTACAAGCCCAACCTGGTGCCGTGTCCCGCCTGCTCCCCAGTCAAGATGAGCCCCCTCTCCATGCTCTACTACGAGAAGGGTGAGATGGTCATCCGACACCACGAGGACATGATCATCGAGGAGTGTGGCTGCAACTGAGGCCACCCTGCACCCTGCCAGGAAGGTGCACATCTCTGCCCAAAAGTGCCCCAAGGACCCGACCCACGAGCACTGCACAGACCAGGGCGTCTCTGAAGCCCACGCCCTTGGGTTGGCACAGCCCCGGCTGGACCTGGGGAGGAGTTGGTGCCCGGCAGCACCACACACGAGCACAGTGCCTGGCTGGATCCAGGCTCTGCGTGGAAAAGGGCAGCAGCCACCTCGCTGTGGCACCAGGGGCAGCTCTGGAGTGCTGGGTGCCCCGTGCTGTGTTTACCAGGGAGCTGCTGTGTCTGGGACAGAGGCAGGAGTGAGGTGCAGGACTGGGGGGGCACAGCACTCCCGGCTCAGGCAATGCTGCTTTTCCCAGCCATGGGAATCACCAGGAGCAACAGGTTCTCAGCACCCTGCAGCTCCAGTGTCTGGCCATGCTGAGCATCCACACCACTGGGATTTTCAATCTCCCCTGGGGCTTAGGCATTTCTCCTAAGAAGTCTATTATATGTCTATTAAAACGATCAGATTTCTATTACAACTCAGACAAGTGAATGTATTACCCAATGTCCAGAGCCCCAGCTGGCAGATCCAGGTGGGCAGCTGTTACAAACAAGTAACCACAGCTCTGCTCAAGCCTTTTCCCCCTCGCTGGATGGGGTGTAGTGAAAAGGTCACAGCTGTACAGTTCATCAATAAATTATATATATTAAAAATGCCCACTGGATTCTGTTGATTCTTGCTGTTGATGGCCTGACAGGGTGTGAGTGTCCCCTTCCCTGTGTCCCATCTGTTGCATCCAGAGCTCCTCCCTGCTCTGGCTGCAGCTGCTCCGGGAGCAGGTGGGCTCTGGCTGTTCCTTAAACCACCAGAGCAAGGGGGTTCCTCCAACAGTGCAAAAGATGCTCGAGAGCTCCAAAGCTCACGTGAGATAAGGACGAACCCTGATGAGGGGTTGCTCAAGAGCAAGGGAGGCACCTGCAGGCATGGAAGGGGAGGCTAAAGGGATTTTCCTCCTTTATTTACCCCTCGGAGATAAGGGAAGGGCCGTGCTCTGTAAGAGCAGTGAATTCGAAGCCCGTGGTGCAGGCAAGTCCTCTGGGTCACCCACCCGGAGCAGTGATGGGGCTGGGGGCGATGCCCGGGCTCCTGAGTGTCCCGGGGTGGCCGTGTCCTCCCGCACGGCAGCCCCGGGAAGGAGCAGCGAGGATCAGACCCCGGGATTGACCCCGGCCGTGGCTCTGGGAGCCCCAGGCTGAGAGCTGCCTCCCCGGACGGGGGGACAACACACGCGTGGGGACCCGCCGGTGGCCCCCAGGCAGCAGAGGGGTCGGGCGGGACCCCCCTGCAGCGGCGGGTGGCCCTGGGGGCTGCGCAGGACGGGACAGGGACAGGGGCCACCCCCACCCCGTCCCTCCTGGGAGCAGCAGCCCCGATTCCACATCCCAGCCCAGCCTGATTATCGCAATCCACATCCCGGCCGGCGGATAAACAAAGCGTGTCTGGTGCTCCCCCGCCCCAGCAGAGCCTCCCCGGGGCCGCTCACATATTCCGACAGCTTTCACACTGCGACCATCCCGTCATTAGAGGGTCATTTGCAGGAGCTGTCAAGGGTGGGCAGGGGGCTCGGGGCTGACCCCCGGCAGGAGGCAAAGCAGGAACCTGCGCTCTCTCGGTGCTCTGGGTGATGTAAAGTTACATTCTTTCGCCTCTTCACGGTTTTGCTGCTCCTGCTCACAAACGGTTCCAAAGCAAAAAGATTCTCTCCCCCACGGCCCACCCCGGGACCCCCTGCCCCCCTGTGCTGTATCTCTGCCATCTCTGCCCCTCCTGCCTGCCTGCAATCCTGCAGCGGGTTCAAAAGTTGCGGCGGGGCAGGGGGAGGCAGCAGCCGTTCCCTGGGAAGAGCAGGGTGGAAAAATAAAGGCTGGGATTCCAGGGCTGTAAGGAAAACATCAAAGTGTGAACAATGACAATAAAGTCGGGTTTAGGCAAGGATCTGCCGGCGAGCCGGGCTCTGCCAGGCTTGGGCTGTGAGGGGGAACCTGAACTGAGCAGGGAGAGCTCTGGTCCTGTCCTGCCCCAATCTACATCGGCTGGGGGACAGAGGGAGCCCAGACACGCAGGACAATAAAGAGGGGGGACAGCCCCAGTCCTGCCCCGGACCCTTCAGCATCCCTGGGGGAAGCTGGCAGGTTCTGCTCTGGGAAGGGCTGGCTTGGCCGGGGGGGACTGCAGGCACAGATTATTTTGGACACACAAAAAGGAAAAAGTGAGAACAAGCAGACCGAGGGATCTTATCACCGGCCGAGGGTGATATTTGTACAAATGGTGCATTAGAGCACCAGCTGGCTCGGGCAGGTGGTGTTTGTCCCGTGACTGGGACACAGAGCAGGGCACAGGGACATGGGGCACGACACAGGAACACCGGGAGTGCTGCTCTGCCTGCTTGAGACAAAAAGGGGCTGGGATGGGAAATGCAACGACAAAGCCAACTTGTCCCCGGACCTCCCCGGAGCATCCCAGCTGTGCCTCAGCCACCCACGACTGCCTCCCTCCCTCCCACTGTGCACAACTGGGCTCAGCCCGTGCAAAAAGCAGCTCCTCGGCCTGTGAGGGTGAGGAACAGACCCTGGGGAAGCGGGGATGTGCCCTGGAATGCTGAGCTGCTCCTTGCAAGGCTCGGGCAAGCTTGGAGAGCTGCAAACATGAATGCATGTGGGAGGTGGATCCAAAGCTGTCTGGCTGAAGGATGCAGCAGCTGGGGGTGTGAAGGGTGAAGGTCCAGAGCAATGGGATGCTGAGACCACTTGGTCCCACAGCACGGGTGAAAAAGTTTAAGGAATGGGCTTAGGACAAATTGCACCAGAGCAGATGTCCGTGAGTATCATCACCTCATCACACCCGGCTCTCTCTGCCCCCCACAACGGTCCTGATGTGCCCATGGCCCCAGGGCCCTGCACCGAGAACCCAGCAGGACCCCTGGTCACACCTGGCCAGGTGTTTCACGGGGTTTCCCCCCTCCTTCTGAATTATCAGCGTCGGAGGCACCTGGTGCTTTGATGCTGCCCCAGGTCTGCATAAGCAGCAGATACCAATGCAAAGCTGCCAAAGCTGCCGGGACATAGAAAAAGCACTTTACACCTCCAGCACGTGGTACCACTCCTGCAGGTGGGAGAGAATGGCATTTAAGAGCATTACCTGCAATACCTGACACCCCCAAAAACCAGGCAGCCACTTTTGTACCTACACCAGAGCCCAGCACCACAAGGCTCCTGCTCCTGTAACAGCCGTGGCTGAAATCAGCTCATTCCTCCCCCAGACTGCCGGGATGTGCAGCCCTCAGCTTGGGATGGCACCTCCGGGGGATCCCAGGGCCACCAGCCCACGTCTCCCACGGAAACCACAGTGGGACAGTGCCCAGACACACAGGACACCCAACCCGGCTGAGCTCCCTGTCCAGGAAACCTGCTCACCAAGAGTTCCATTAATCCAACCCTTCCCACTGCAAACCCTCGCTGGAGCAGTAATTCCTGACATTTGGTTAGGACAGAGCAGGAGAACGAGCCCCAGCACAAGCACAGGGATTCGTCCCTGCAGACCCTGCCCAGGCTGTCATGGCTATTTCAGTTCTCCTTGAAGTAGGGGAACTTTGGGGAAATTACCATCAACATGGGAAGTTTTCCTAAACCAAAACCTGCAGCTGCACCACAGCCCAGCAATGCCATTTTAAACCAAGATTGCCAATTTAGCACAGAAAAAAAATCAGTCCCAGCTGCAGCAGCTCCTCTCATCCTAACTGGTGCAGCTGAGACTGATAAAGTCACACCTAAGGGCAATGAATTTGGATTTGTTCCCATTAAAGTTTCAGAGAAACCCTTAAATCTTATCTTAGAGAAATGCAGGTTTATCTGCAGCAATTGCTTTGTTCTGTTACTCATTATTGAGGGTTTGCATATCATAATGTCACCACTGAGCTTCATTAGCAGATATTTAAATGCTATCTACCTAACCTGATTTGCACAGACACTCCTTGTGGTTTGGGAAGTCTGAAGTTCAGGCTGTGCCCCTTACAGATTCTCCTCTTGTGAGGATCCCCCACCCCCCAGCACAGCAATGTGTCTTACAGAATGTCCAGACCACATGTATCAAACCTCACTGAGGCTAAAAATTAAGATATTTGCTCTGGGGACCCAAACTGAACCTTCCCACAGCAAAATTAACTTTGTCTGATGAAAATTCCCATCTCAAACCCAGACTGACTCGGTTTCTAACCTCCCTGTGAATTCCTCTTCCCCAAAGGTCTTCTCCCTGCTCACCTCACAATGAAAGAGAAGCAAGGGTAAAGCAGTATGGAAATTTCACCATGGATCACAAACCCAGGCAAGCACATGCCAGAAAGAAAGAACTGCAGTGGAGGAGCACACAGTGGAGTTCCTCTCCCTGGCAGGGCAGAAGGCAGCTCAGGAACCCTCCAAATGCCTCCAGCTAAACTGATCCCAAATATTTCCACGTGCAGCCTGAGCCCGGCCCTTGCCAAGCAGGCAGGAGAACATAACTTGTGACAGAGGCTTCTGCAAGCACTCAGGGCACAGTTTTTGTCACTATTCTAGGGGCAGATTTGGCAGACCTAAACTTCCCCCAGGAACCAGGTGGGACCAGGGATCTTGGCCCAGCCCCAGCAGCACAGGGGGCACCGTTTTAACGCCTCAGGTTGGCAGTGTCTTGCTGGAATAAGGAACAGAAGCCACATTTATTGCATTCATCTCCACACCAGGAGACTCCACATGATTTTTATTTCTCCCTTATATTGCATTTCTGTAACTGTTACAGTATTAAAATGATTAACAAAAGCATAAAACTGGAACTGAAACCAAGGGGGAGAGTGTCTCCTGCAGCATCCCGAGACCCGGCCCCTGGAACAGGACTGCTCTGCTCTCCCGAGGGAATCTGCCTTTCCCAGGAGCAGGAAGGCACTCAAGGCATGGCTGCTGAAAGCCTGGCTGGTGGGAATCCTCAAAACAAGTCCTGGTGCTTCACTGGATCAGCATTCTCCGGGCAGGTGCCTTAGATGT